TAACCAAGGGGAAGAGAGGGGACCAAAATTCCCGGAAACTGCATCACGTGATTAATGGGCGGCCACTACAAAAAGTACAAAATTTTTGGAAAAATATTAAAAACAAGTACGGAAAATTACGCGGGGGGAGGAAGGGGAATTTTAAATATAACCAAGGGGAAGAGAGGGGACCAAAATTCCCGGAAATTGCATCACGTAACCAATGGGCGGCCCCTAGACAAAAATAGTTTTGGAGAAAATATTAAAAATGAACCAGATCGAAAGTACTAAGTACTAAAAACGTACGTGACGTTAGGCGGGCGGGTGAGTGGTAATTTTAATAATCACCAAGGGCGAGAGAGAAGATGAAAATCCTGAAAACTTGATCACGTGATTAATGGGCGCCCACTACAAAAAATCGCAATTTTGGAAAAAAAATGTTAAATATAAATATCGGTGCAATAGCCCCAGACGAATAATACAACAATTTTCAAAGCAAATTACAAACATAATAAAAATCTTGGTATCCCAGACTTCAACAACAATTTCCAAACCACAGTTGATGTTTCAACAATATAAATTTGACATTAACATTTTACAGCGTACAAAGAATCTTTTACAATTTTACACACACAAACGCACATATAATACAAAACAAACAGTGGTTGAAATTTCATTATTATAAATAACAAACTCATCATCATCGTTTAATTACATTACGAATACAATTATATAAAATTAAACAACCTTAAAAAAGAAACAAACTAGCAAAAAAAAATGCATTAACATTATAAAATACTGTTGTTTTACACACAATCGAGAGTGATTATAATAATTTAATTTAAAAACCAAATTGTTTTAGCGTTTCATTTTTTTTGTTTCTCGTATTATCGAAAACTCCAACCACTCTTGAATCTACAATATTTATATATATATAATAATATATCTAGCTTAAAATGATGACGATACATTACAATATTTAATATTAATTTTATGTATGTAATTTTTTTTATTCATTAGTGTACAACGACTCACGCACAAAGTCTCTTATTAAAAATGAGTGGGAATTGTTAATTCAAATTTCTGTGTTCATCATTCATTTACAATAATTAAATGTTTTTTGTTTTTAGAATTGTTTACAAAATACACACACACGCGTACGTAGCATGTGTATACACAAATTCATATACATATATATGTATATATATACATACACACTTAAATAATAAATATATAAATATATTTATCCAATTAATACTGCAAAAATCCATCATCTGTATGTATATTATTATTATATTTGTGTGCGTTAACCCTTTGTGTTTATGTATGTTTATGTATGTGTTTACATGTATGTATGCGCAAGTGTGTGTATGTATATATACATATATATGTATATAATAATATAGTTCATCATACAAAGTATAATAATAATAATAATAGTAAATGGTAAATAGATTTCATTCTCACTTTATTTTTGTGTATGTTTTTAAGTTCAATGTTAATTATTATTTGCTTTAATTATGACACGTCTTGGTCTTCGACGTCTTGTAGTTGTTCTTTTTGTTCCGTTTCACCTGCAACGATAAAGAGTCAATGTATAAATATATAAACGAGAGGAAGGATAAAGATTTGGAGACATATTTGATGATTTTGTGACTTTGCTCATCAGTAGAGTCCCTTTTTAACGTTTTAGATCAAAATTAAATTTTGTTCATCAGTAGAGTCCCTTTTTAACATTCTAGACAAAATTAAAGTTTGTTAGTCAGTAGAGTCCCTTTTTATCTTTTTTATTTTTAACTTTTGCTCGTCAGTAGAGTCCTTTTTGTTAACATAATCGAAAATAAATTTTTTCGAATTTATCTTTACGTTTCAGCGGATTCTGAACACTGGTATATTTCAATTGAAATATTTCAAAATAAAAATTTTTTTTCAACAATTTGTTTTCCAAAAATTCAATTTTTTTTAATTTATATGTCGACATTTGTATTTGCTTGTCAGTAGAGTTCCTTTTCAATCTTCTAGATCAGAATTAACATTTGTTTGAGAGTGAAGTCCTTTTTTATTTTCTATGTGAAATTTTAAGTTTGCTCGTCGGTAGAGTCCCTTTTTTATTATACTAGATCAAATTTCAGCAAAGTTTGATTTGCCCGTCAGTAGAGTTCCTTTCCAATCTCCTAGATCAAAATTAAAGTTTGTTCGTCAGTAGAGTTTTTTAACTTCTAAATAAAATTGTAAAGTTTGTCAGTAGAGTCGTTTTTTTATTAAGTTTGTTAGTAGATTGTTTGTTGGTAATTCAGTTTGCTCGTCAGTACAACCCTTTTTTAATCTTCTACATCGAAATTTAGTTATTTATTTGCTGATCGGTAGAGACCTTACAATTACAAATTTAATTTGTTCGTCAGTAGGGCCCTTTTTTATGTCAACATTTTTATTTGCTCGTCAGTAGAGTTCATTTTCAATCTGCGTCATTAGAGTCCCTTTTAAGTTTTCTAGATCAAATTTAACATTTGTTTATCAGTAGAGTCCCTTTTTAACATTTTAGATCAAAATTCAATTTGCTCGTCAGTAAAGTCCTTTTTCAACATTCTAGATAAAACTTTAGGTAAATTAAAATTAAAGTTTGCCCGTCATTTCTTTTCAGTCTGCTAGATAAAAATTAAAGTTTGATCAGTAGAGTCTTTTTATCTGTCGACATTTTCATTTGCTCGTCAGTAGAGTTCCTTTCTAATATTTTAGATCAATATTTTTGTTTGCTCATCAGTAGAGTCCCTTCTTTATCTTCTAATCTGTAATTTAATTTGCTCGCCAGTAGAGTCCGTTTTCCACATTTCTAACGAATTTAAAAATTTATGAAAAATATAAATGTGGATTCTACTGACGAGCAAACAAAATTTGTAATCGTACAAACAAATATAAAAGGACTCTACAGACAAGCAAAATGAATTTGAAAATTAAAGAAAAATATAAATGGGGATATTACTGACGACCAAACTAAAATCGCAATTGTAAAAAGAATATAAAAGGACTCTACTGATGAGCAAACTTAAACTAGCAATTAAAAAAGAGGACTCTACTGAAATATCAATGAGAAATATAGATATATAGAAAAGATGGTAAAAAAACAAATATGAGAAAAGTAAAAAAACTCTGGTAAAAGTAATAGATGGAACTCTACTGACGAGCAAATTTAGAAGATAATTTAACAGCACATTATATTTAAAATTTAAAAAACTCCTATAGAAAACATTAACAAAAAAATGATAAAAACACCATTAACGAGCAAATTCGAAATTAACCCATTTGCATCACACAGAAAAGTGTGAAATTCGTTCTTATCACCAAAATTTTAACCGTATAAATGCCCAAGTACAATATGCGCGCTCTGGTGATAGTGGCCAGGCAAAATGCGCACATATGTTCGCTTATGATGCAAATGGGTTAAGTAGTAATTTTAGGCAACAAGAAAACTTTACTTACGAGCAAAATAGCAAATAAACGAAACTACCGACGAGCAAATTCTCAAAAAAAAATGTGGAGTAACTTCAGTAAACAAAGAACTCTACTGGTGAGCAAATCAACAAAAAGTGATATTGAGTAATTTTAGGAAAAAAAAAAATAAAAAAAAACATTACTGACGAGCAAATCAACAAAAATGTGACAAAAAAATGAGTAAAAATTTTACGTAACAAAAAATCCTATTAGGGAGTATTTTTATTTAAAAGCGATAAAAAGGACTCTTCTGCCGAGCAAACAAGTTTAATATATTGTTGTTACAATAGTTGCAATAATAATGAATCCAGTTTGAAAAAAATATACGAGATAATTTAAATACATATAATTGCAAGTAATATTAGTAGAACGTCACATTATACGATGAATGAAAGAAATCAAAAAATTGAAAAAAGTGATAGAAGAACTCGACTGACGAGTAAATTTAAGAGTTATTCTACTAGAACGTTATACTTTAAATATAAAACTCTTATAAAGTTAATTAACAAAGAAGTTTATGAAAAAAACTTAAGCAAATTTGAACACTAAGTAGTGATTTTAGATAAAAGAACTCTACTGACTAGCAAATCAACAAAAAAGTGATGAAACTACTGACGAGCAAATTTTTGAAAAAAAAATAGTAATTTATACAACAACAAAACTATATTGATGGTAGAAATTTTAGAAAAAAGCGATATAAAAAGGACTCTACTGGCGAAAAAATCAACAAAAAAGTGATGAAAAGAACTCTACTGACGAGCAATTTCTCTCAATAATGTGTAAAAATTTGAAACAAAAAAAACTATATTGATGAACAAAATTAACAAAAGTAGTGATAAAAGGGACTCTACTGACGAACAAATTCAAAATAAAATTGTACAGTGTGAAACGTGCTTTATGATAATACCTAAAACACACTTTAAATTTTATATATAGCGCTCCAAAATAGTCTCATATGAATCCGGATACATGTGTTGACGGCTTTAGCGTTTAAAGCTGTTTTCACACTTAAAATTTTGAATAAAAATTGAAAAAAAAACTTGTGAAGCAAATTATTTACACTTATTGTAAGTTTTTTTTTAACAAAAATGTTATGGCAAAACCAAGATGAGAAGAACATTCTATACTGAATATTGACAAAAGCCATGCGGTCGCGGTGCAGTCAGGCGTATTTCTCAGGTCATCAGATAGAAAATTTAACTTAAAAATCGCATAAATTTTACAAAAACGATGTTAGATAACAGGGTTTTTCTGACCCAGCTTCATAACATACGAGTAACGTGTAAAACGCCTGAATGAACACCAAACACACAGACATTTCGACAATATCCGGTATAATTCAATTATCATTTCACTACCATTATGTCAATTACTACTACACCTAAGTCTGTTTTTACACGGTAGATTGGTTCCAGAAGAATCCGTGTAAAAAAAAAAACGTGTAAAAAGAGACATTGATCTTATACAAAAATGGGTGATTTGTTCCTAATCTCTAAAACCTATTAAAATTGGTGAAAAACAAGAATTTTTAAGAACAAGAATTAAATTAGTGCTATTCACATTTGCTTTGACCAGTAAAAATTGTTTGTACGCGCTAAAGGGGAATTCACTGAAATCTTTAAGCTAGTGTTCGCAAATTATCGATACTATCGATGGTTTCAGACTTTTTTCTTTCATAAGTACTTTTTTGTGATATGAACATACTTCGCAAAAATTAAATATGACAAAAAAAAAATTAAGTACATAAAATTTCAAATCGTGCTAAACGGAATAAAATCGTGTAAAAAAATTAAAAATATTCAATTTTCAAACCGTGTTATATCAAAACCGTGTACAAAAAGACCGTGTAAAAACAGACTTAGGTGTATATAAACAATCGCTTTATCTTGCCGATGTGTCATACTCGGCTGAGTAGAGTCGGTAATACACATACACAGTGTGAAACTTGTGTATGTGTATTGCGTAAGTTCATTTTTTAACAAAATACTGCTAATCCCGAATACCGGTATTTTTGGTATCAATACCGGTATTGAATACAGGAGAAAATCGTCCGGGATTCCGGTATTCGGGATCACGGAATTCCGATATTGTAAGCCCTACTACTACCACTATCACTATTTCTACTCACCATCACCCTGCATATCAGAGGTCCACAACGTCAGGTTGTCCCTCAGCAACTGCATGATGAGCGTCGAGTCCTTGTAAGACTCCTCGGAAAGGGTGTCGAGTTCCGCGATGGCGTCGTCGAAGGCCGCCTTGGCCAGCCTGCACGCCCTATCGGGACTGTTTAGAATCTCGTAGTAAAAGACGGAGAAATTGAGGGCCAACCCGAGACGAATGGGGTGCGTCGGGGGCAGCTCGGTCATCGCAATGTCGCTGGCCGCCTTGTAGGCGACGAGCGAGTTCTCGGCGGCCTCTTTGCGGTCGTTGCCGGTCGCGAACTCGGCGAGGTAGCGGTGGTAGTCGCCCTGGGTAAAGGATAGTTGGGGTTAATAAAGTGGATGGATTGAAAGTTTGGTTGGGGCCTATTCTCGGATACACTACTAGTCCAGTATCATATATGTAATATGTATTCTTTTTGTTATTATTATTGTAAATATGGTTTTTAGTGATTATTTTTACCATGATTAAAAAATTATTTATAGGTTAATTTAATTTTTATTAGTTAGTATTAAATATAAGTTTATGTATTTATATCTTAGGATAGTTATACATGTTTATTAAATTGTATAGAAATATGTATGTATAATCTAATATAAATGAAATAAATAAATCTTTAAAAACTAAACTAAAACTAGTCGAGTTGTTTAAGCTTAAATTAGGTTAGAATTTCGGAATTAGAGATACCCAGCTGTATGTAAATACTTGTATATTCAGTATAGTGTGTCTGTGTAGGTTTTGAGACAACCTTTAGTGTCAATATACAAGTATTTAAATATTTAATATATTGACTACAATTTTTGATTTAAACTAGCTGTAAGTGGAATTCTGTCTTGAGGCAATTATGGCATCGTCCCTTAAGGCAAATTGCTGGAACTTCCCGTTGAATACTGAATGTTTTCAAATAGATTATTATAAATATTGTATCATTGTCTAATATAAAATAATAAAATAAAATCTGAAATATTTTCGATATACAAAAAACTAAAAAAAAAAAAAAATGGAACAAAATTTTTTTTTCCAAAATAAATTATTTTGTTAAGACAAGCAGAAAGTTCTTTGAATCATTCAAATCGGACGCTTAGTTGTCTCAAAAACTGCCATTTTTTACATATTTAGCTCCGTATCTTCGAAATGGCTGGGCCTGCCTTTGCCAAAAACTAACAAACACTTCTCCCAATCATTACTAATTGAATGTTGATTAGATCATTCAAATCGGATACTCCGTTCTCTCAAAAATTCGATCTCTATTTTCTGCACTCTTTGCTCCGTATCTCCGAAACGGCTGGACCTGCCTTTGCCAAAAACTAATCAGCTTTTTTCCCTATCAATGGGATTCGAATGTTTTTTGAACCATTCAAATCGGTTGATCCGTACACCCGAAACGTGGGCGAAAATTTGTATCCATACATACATACATACACACACACACATACATTCATTTTTCTGAGGTATGCCAAAACGTTCAGAAACCTTCAAAACGCCGAGAAATGTAAAAATTTTCAATTCCGATTTTCGGCCCATTACAATAACTTACCCTACGGGAAGTTAATAATTGATACTTTTTCTTCCAACAGTTACAATTATTTTTTCCCTTTTCAATACTTTTTCTAATTTTTATTAGAAATTATTTTAACATTTTTCTACTTTAAGTATTTTATCATTACAATTATTTTCATATTATATATTCTTTTTTGATACTGCTCTTAGTTTTTATTTTCCAGATATGTGACTCAAATAAAAATTGCATAACGGATATTGAAAAGTTGTTTTTTTACCATAAGAAGACTCTCAAGATCTACAACAATTATACTATTTGAATTTTATTACTTTTTTTTTTCTTCAAGATATTGTATTAGATATTACTAATGTTAGGCTTAATATTGTTTAATAGTTGTATTTTACTGTAATTAATTCAATTAAGATGATTTATTTTCTGTAATTATTAAATCTATTCCTGTATCCGTAAATATAAATATACACCACTAAGTCCAGTTAAATAAGTTCAAGTTAGAGAAGAATTTCGGAATTCGAGATACCCAGCTGTAAATACTTGTATATTCACACCCGAAAAAAGTAGTCTCAAACTACATATAAAACAACCTAAAATTTGTTAAATAAAATAATTATATTGTAAAAGTATTGTAAAGCTTATTAAAATACTTATTAAATTTTTAAAAAAATACTTGCAACAAACCAACTTAGTTATATTTAAAAATAATTAAAATTAACTAAATATAAATAAGTTTATAGTAAATAAATTAAATAAGTAATAAACAGCCAATAATTAATTAAATTATATTAAACCTATAAAATATTGACTTAAGCCTTATTAACTTCCCGTAGGGTAAGTTATAGTAATCGCAAAAAAATCAAAAATGAAAAATTTTATATATCTTTACGTTTCAGAGGTTTCTGAACATTTTGGCATACCTTAGAAAAAATGGATGTATGTGTGTGTGTGTGTGACGATTCGGGAACACGGATGAAGCAATTTGAATAATTTAAAAAACATTCGATCCGTATTGATAAGGAGACGTGCTGATTAGTTTTTGGAGAAGGCAGGTCTCGGAGATACGAGGCAAAAAGTGCCAAAAACGGTAACTCAGTTTTTAAGAGAACGGAGCGTCCGATTTGAATAATTCAAAAAACATTTTATTTGTATTGACTAAATAAAAAACTGTTCAAATTTTTAGAAAGGCAGGTCCAACGACTTTGGAGATATGGGGGAAAAAGTAAAGAAATGAGCCATTTGGCGGTCAAAAATAAACATTAGACATATGCACATCAAATTATCAGATATTTTATAGAGATTTTAACAATAAGTATACATTTTGTTAACATTCCTATGGGTTCCGTACCAATGTTTACGCGATAGACGGCGACGCGGCGCCTACGCGCTTCGATATTTAGTCTCTATGCATTTAAAACAGTACCATTGCTTTGAAAAAAAGTTCAGAATTTCCAAAATATTTAAAAATAAATTTTTCAACAAAAAGTAAGTTTTTGTCAAAAAATTATAGTTTCTCAAAAATCTATTTTTTCAAAGTAAATTTTTTTCAAAAATGTTATCTTTTTTAAAAAAAAAGAATTTTTGGAACGGGAAGTACCAGCAATTTGCCTTAAGGCACGATACCATGCGCCTTACTAGTTGCTATTTTTTTGCTTTTGAATTGGATTTAAAACAAAAATCAGATAAAAAATAAATACATGTAAAAAATCTTACTATAAACCTCCCTCCCTCTGTTAAACGTTTGTTAATTGTTTTTTATTTATTGGATTTATTGTTCGGAAAAGAAACAAGAGGTATACAAAATGTAAAATGAGTTGTAAAAGATATACATAGTAAGATCTCTATTCAGAAGAATTTCATTGAATGTCAAAACAATAGCAGACAGTCTGAAGAAAAAAAGAAGAAGGAGTCAATTGACTAGCAAACTACGTTATAATTTCAATAAGAAAAAAAAAAAAGTAGAGAATGTCAATTGCGGACCTGAAAACAGAGATTCTACAAAGAAGAAAATATGAAACAATTGCGAAAGGACTGTCAAGCAAATCTTAGATTGTGTGTCCCCTTTTGTTTCGTGCATCAATACTTGTTTCATCAGTAGAATTATTTTGATGTTTTCCATTTGGCGAGTAGTGTTTATTTAAGAAAAAATGAATATAACTATTAACAAGGAACAAAAATAATAGTGTCATATTAAACAACAAATGAACAATACTGATGAGCATTTGAAATGGTTGTTTAAGAAAAACAAAATGCAACCTTATTGACGAATGTCAGTGTAAGATGAAATAGCTGATGAGTGAATTTGAAAAAAATGCCAAGTATGAACAAAAAATTCAACTATGAGCAAATTCATATTGATATGTAATTTTATTTTCGCGATTATGTTACTCGGAACTTAGTTTTGATAATTAAGAGTGTCAAGAATTAAAATAAATGCTCATACAACCACATCAGGTACAGCTCTTCAACAGTAATTTAAAGCAGCTGCAAATTTTTTTTGTTTTCAACACTGCTACTATAGAAGACTACTGGTAAGAGGGCTTTGTTATCCGAGAATAAGGCTCTTAATATAATACAATGCAGTTGTCATAATCTATTGTATACTCACTTTCATCTTATAATAGAATACTTTACTTTCCCCTGTCGACGCGCAGGGTATTAAATGTTTGTCGAGCACATCCAGGATATCGCTGCAAATGTCCCGCAATTCTTTTTCTACTTGCGATCTGTATGTCCTGATCATTTCTAATTTGTCATCGGCAGCCTGGAAATAGAAACAAAACAATAATATAAATAAATAAAATGATATAGTATATAAAATGATATGAATTAAAAAGAATACTCTTATGATAGATAATGGACAAATAATTCGATTTGTTTATAACATTTTTTACCTGTCCAATGGTAACGTTTTTTTTTTTTAAGAAAAAAACTCTACTGACTAGCGAGTTCTGACAATTTTAGGAGAAAGGACTTCACTGTCTAACAAATTTTAGGAAGAAATTAAACTCTACTGATAAGATATGTTTGACTATTTTAGGCAGAAAAGAACTTTACTGATGACCAAATTGCGAATTTTTGTATTTCAGAAAAAGAAACTATCTTACTAAGAGCAACATTTTTTCAAAAAAAAAAAAAAAAAAAAACTAATAACAAGCAAAAGTCCTGACTTTCTTAAAAAAAAAAAAAAAAAGAACTCCACAGACAAGCAAATTGACATTTTTAGAAAAAAAGGGACTCTACTGACGAGCAAATTCTGGAATTTGTGGAAGAAAAAAGAACTACTGACGAGCAAGTTCTAGAATTTTACGAAAAAAAGAAATTCGACTAAGGAGCAAATTCTGACTTATTTTTAAGAAAAAGCACCACTGACTAGCAAACTCAAGAATTTTTTTTAGGAAAAATGAAACTCAAATCTTGGCAATTTTATAAAAAAAGGAAATTGAAAAGCAAATGAAATTTTTTCTAAAAAAAAAAAGAACTACTGGCAATCAAATTCTGACATTTTTCTCTCTAAAAAAGGAACTCTACTGACGAGCAAAATTCTAGAATTTTTGGAATAAAAAAGAACTGTACTAAAGAGCAAATTCTGACAATTTTTAGATAAAAAGAACTCTACTGACAAATTCTAGAATATTTTTTTTAAAAAGGAGCTCTGCCAGTGAGCAAATTGATATTTTTAAAAACAATGGACTCTACTGAGTAACAACTAACTTCTTTATAAAAGAAGGACACTACCAATCAACAAATTCTGAGATTTTTTTAAAAAAAAAAAAAAATGCCAACGAATAAATTTTGATTTTTTTTTTTAAAAGAAAAGTACTGATGAGGAGCAAATGGCATTTTTAGAAATGAGGACGAGCAAATTATTTATTAAACTTAAAAGCAATAAAAAAAACTCTACTGACAAGCAAATTTACCATCTTTAGCAGATAAAATTGGACTCTACTGAGGAGCAATTTATTTATCTTATAACTTAAAAAAGAATTAATATCAAAAACCGATTTAGAGAACTCTACTGACGAGCAAATTGTTTATCTATGTTCAGGAAATATAAAAGGGACTCTACTGACGAGCAAAACAACTTTAGTTGACAAAAAAGAAACTCTACTGACAAGCAATGAATAGACCTTGAAATTTTAAAAAGGGATTATACCGATGAGCAAATTGTTTATTTTTAAGTGATAAAAAATGGAACTCTACTGATGAGGAAATGATCTAACTTTAACAGATCAGACTATACTGACAAGCAAATTGGAGAAAAAATGATTAAAGGAATTTTACCGCCAAATTATTTAAATATGTTTAGATGATAGAAGAGGACTCTACTGACGAACAAATTATGTATCTAAAAGAGATAAGGGACTCTGACTCAAATTTATAATAAATCTTGAATTTCATAAAAGAACTCTACTGGCAAGCAAATTATTTTGTCTATCTTAAGATAAAAGAGGACTCTACTGACGAGCAAATTATGTATCTAAAAGAGATAAGGGACTGACTCAAATTTCTAATAAATCTTGAATTTCACAAAAGAACTCTACTGGCAAGCAAATTATTTTGTCTATCTTAAGATAAAAGAGGACTCTACTGACGATCAAATTAATAGATCTTGAAACTTTATAAAGGGATTCTGGTGACAAATGGAGAAAAAATTATAAAAGATAAAAAAGGATTATACTGACGAGCATACTTCATATCTGAATGAGATAAAAAGACGAGCAAATTGTTTATCCATCTTCAGGAAATAAAAGGGACTCTACTGACAAGCAATTTATTTATCTAACTTTAGTAGATCAAAAACGGTCTCTACTGACTAGTGATTTATTTATCTAACAACTTTAAATATAATAATTGAAAAAAATGTCAGATAAAGAAATATAATAATTGAACTTTGAAAAGGGACCTTACCGACAAGCAAAATGGAGAAAAATTAGAAAAAGAACTCTACTGACAAGCAAATTATTTAACTTTAAAAGATTTAGAAGGGACTTTAAAAGCAAATTGTTTAACTTTTATAGGATGATAAAAGTAACTGTACTGACGAGCTTGTAGCTTTAAAAAGGGACTCTACTGACGAGCAAATTAATAACAGATCTTGTAACATTAAAAAGAGACTCTGCTGACAAGCAAAGTTAATAACAGATGATCTTGAAATCTGAAAAATGAGATTTAATTTCCTCACCTTGCTCTCTTCCTTCTGTTCTATACTCGAAATTATCCTCCAGGAGGCTCGACGGGCTCCAATTACATTTTTATAGGCAACAGACAGTAAATTCCTCTCCTCAACAGTCAGTTCGACATCCAGAGATGCCACTTTTTTCATCGCCTCCACCATTTCTAAAAAACAGAAATAGAAATTTAATAAAAATACCAACTATAACTAAATAGTAGATAAGGAAGCCATAGGTTCATTAATCAGGTGATCGATTTTTTAAGGAGATATTCAGAATTACCCTCACATTCCTCAACAAAAAAACATCACGTTTATTTTTGGTTACCAAAAAATATTGTAACATTTTTTATTTTTTTTTAATTAAAAAGTGTAATAAAGTATGGATTAAAAGAAAGTACATGTTAAAATTAAATATACACTTTAATATACCCCTCTCTTCCCCACGTTATATTTCGTTATTTTTTTTTTTTAAATCCTTAAAAAATATATTACGTGACTAATAAATGCTCCCTAACATCGTGCGTTTTATAAGTTAGATTTTAAATGCGCCTGACTGAACCGCAAATTCGTAGCATTGTGACAGTTTTTACTGCCCCGTTGTATTTTTATTTTATCGAAGAATTGACTAACTTTATAAAATTATTATTTAGATTTATGAGTTGAGAATCTTTCATACAATCAAGAATTCAGGAAGAGATTTGTCCAAATTTCAATTTCGATTTTGTATTTGCACAATCAATTCAAACTTATTTGTATAATGTCATTGGAGAGTATAATTCCAACCTTCATGAAGCTGAAGAGGTGTTAAATTATGAAATAAATATACATTTTTAAAAATAAATCAAATGTATTTGATATAAATTTTTGTATGAACAATTCCAAAACTGTTTCATCGATAAAGATTATTTTCTGATTTCGGAAAACTCGAATCAAATGCATTTACTTATATAATTACAATGATTTTTATTTTTTATATTAGCCCGGTGTAATATTTATATATTAATAATTTTATTCAAATTGACAATAAATCCACACAATTGTATAGTACATATGATAAAACTTAAATCATTCTCTAAAGTGATAAAAATATTTGAAAATTATTATGTTACAGAGGTTATGATTAATTTTATTATATTAATAGTTTTTGCAGAAGAGTTTTAGTTTTAATTTATATTATTTATACTTTATTATTTTTAATTTATTTTATTCTTGATATGCTCATTATATTTTAGAAATGTTTATTTGCAAAATCGTCGAAAACCAGAAAACAGTATTTTTGTACGTTTCGACACAGTATGTGTGTCATCAATCAGTAAGTTAACGAGTTCTAAATAAAAAATCAAAGACAAATTAATACAAATTAAGTAACCATTTTGAATTTTGAAGAATTTTGAAACTAAAAAGGAACTCGAAGGAAAAAGTGTCTTTGAAGGATAAAAAACGGATTCTACTGACGACCAAATTATTTCGTCTATCTTCAAAAGATAAAAAAGGACTCTACTGACGATCAAATTATTTCATCTATCTTCAGATGATAAAAAGGGACTCTACTGACGACCAAATTATTTCATCTATCTTCGGATGATAAAAAAGGACTCTACTGACGATCAAATTATTTCATCTATCTTCATATGATAAAAAAGGGACTCTACTGACAAGCAAACTTAATATTTATCTAAAAGAAGGAAAAAGAACTCTACTGACGAGCAAATTAATAATAAATCTCTAAACTTTTGATAAGTGAATTATTTATTTGACTCCAAAAGATAAAGAATGGATTCTACTGACGACCAAATTATTTATACTTTACGAAATGAAGAAAAGTCTACTGACGATGAAATTATTTTGTCTGCCTTTAGAGAATAAAAAAGGAACTCTACTGACGAGCAAATTTTTTATCTGTCTTTAGAGAATAAAATAAAGACTACTATGCGAATTATTGATATGTCTTTGGAGCATAAAAAAGGACTCTACTGACGAACAAATTACTTATTGATATTTTGGAGGTAAAAGAAACTATTTACGAACAAATTATTGATCTAGCTTTAGAAGATAGAAAAGGGAATCTACCGCCGAGCAAATTATTTATCTGACTATAGGAGATAGTCAAACAGACTCCACTGACGAACAAATTTATTTTTGATCTTAATGATCAAATATATCTTCAAGAGAGAAGAAGGGACTCTACTAACGAGCAAATTATTCACCTATTTTTAAGATAATTTACGTTTCGACACTGCATGTGTGTCATCAATGAGATAAAGTTAAAACCAGGAAAAAACATCCAAATTAAACATTGTTTGATTAAAAAAGTGAATGAATAGATTAATGACAAAAGTATGCAATAAACATTTATATATTTTTATAATATATTTTAAAAAAATTAAACTTAGAAATTGTTGAAATATGCTGAATGATGAAACACGGTATCGAAACGTACAGAGAAAATAGTTTTTTATAGAAAATATAGGAAAATAGTCTTTTAAATCTACGATTTGGCTGCAAATTAAAATCTTAAGCATATTTAAATATTAGGGTGGTCTTTAATAATGATATTGTCCAATTTTTTTGCTCCCAAGGGCTCAAATGCTTACAAATTGATAAAAAACAATTCTCTCAAAGTTTTAGCTCTCAATATCGACATTTAGATAGTCTTATGGAAATAACACGTAAAATTTCATTT